AGCAAATTATCTCTTTTCTAAAATCATGTCAAGAATGTTTTAAAAAAAAAATTATTGTGCAACAGTACAAAAGATAAATTTTTCTTTGAATATAAAAACATGCGAAAATATATGAAATTTTTGCAGGATAATATTTATAAAGAAAAATTACTATTATATAATTAAAAAATAAAAAATATTATTTAAGATTGTATACAAATGTAGTCGAGAATAAAATATCTGATTTACGTTACTTTATATATCTATCGACAAGTTTCAAAAACTCTAAGTAAATAATAAAATATAAATATATTAAAGATTGATTATATTTTATATGATATTTATCATCCACAATATATTGATTTTGTGATTAAATAAGTTACATATTCTGATAATGCCTGCACAAGTTTCCTGAAAATATTCAAAACGGTGATTAAAGTAAATAAATGACGTGATAGGAATTCCCAGATGCCGCTTGCCAAAATTACGTGAAACTCGAGTGCCATCCCTGTATCGTTGGAATCTGGAGTGTACTGGAGTGTACTGGACAACACAGGGAGACAGTCGCAGCGAGGCTTTATTAAGCTTATTAACGGAACATACAAGGGGTGGATGTATCTACGTCGGTGGTCGGGGAAAGTATAGCTGCCGAAAGGGACATGAGAATGGAAGGTAATGGTAGCTAGAGAGCTGTGTATTTCAACTCGTTTAATCGCGGTGCATTCGAGACCTCTATTTGTCGTATCTAATATCATATCGTGTACCTCTCTTTCCATTTTTACCGCCTTTACCGGTTATCCTTCAAACGAGGCGGTAGAATTAAATGAAAGAGAAGCGTTTCCGCGGACAATTTTAATTAAGCATTAATGTTTCACGACAAAATAATATTTCTTTATATTACTAATCTCGTTAAACCTATTCGTGATGTTTCTCCATAAGTGAAAAATTAATTATTTTTTAAATTATTTTAAATTATTTTTATTTTTTTAAACTTATGCGTTACGTGCGTGCGAAACAACGTTGTATTCTACATGATATGGAAAAATTAATTACAAAAAAGTAATATATATATTTTTTCCAACGATAGAGAGAGAGAGAAATTGAATATAAAATTCAAATTATTTCCCAATTCTCCCCTTGCACCGTTCCTCCGATAAATTCTTTACTTCTTGATCCGCTCTCGTTTTATCGCGTGTTCTCCACAAAAGAATTATTAACTGCACGCTTCGTAGCTGAATTAACGAAAGACGTATTATATCGACGGAAGCGGAAATGGGGAAAAATTATTCCAGTATAATCACGAATAAACCACATTTTTACTTTTTTATTTTTAATAATACTCGTTAATATATATATATATATATATATATATATATATATATATATATATATATATATATATATATATATACAGGGTCTACCAAAAGTGTGGAAACCCCTAAATATCTCGGAAAATATACGTTTTACAGAAAAGTGTTTCCAACAAAAGTTGTAGGGTTTAAGAAGATCTATATACTGATTCTATCAGTTTGACCTTGGATGGCGTCGTCAAGGTCAGGTCAAGGTCACATTGACTTTTTTAAATGACACCCCCTACATTTGATTGCATATTCTTATAGCTTAATTCAAGAGCTTTCCAAAACACTATAATAATGTTCATTTTTATTAAGTACTTTGCGAGTTATGAGGGTTGAAATAATTTCTTAATTTTACATAAACCATAAAATATCTAGTAAACCATTCATTTTTCGATTATCTTACCTTCATACTTTTATGTACAAAATAATGAAAGGAATCAATTGGTGTAAAGAAAACATACAGTTGTTTTTAAGAAAAAATATGGAATTGTTAATTGCAAATTACATATTTTTTCTTAGAAACAACTATGTGTTTTCTTTACACCAATTGATTCCTCTCATTAATTTGTACATAAATTGTACATAAAAGTATGAAGGTAAGATAATCGAAAAATGAATGGTTTACTAGATATTTTATGGTTTATGTAAAATTAAGAAATTATTTCAACCCTCATAACTCGCAAAGTACTTAATAAAAATGAACATTATTATAGTGTTTTGGAAAGCTCTTGAATTAAGCTATAAGAATATGCAATCAAATGTAGGGGGTGTCATTTAAAAAAGTCAATGTGACCTTGACCTGACCTTGACGACGCCATCCAAGGTCAAACTGATAGAATCAGTATATAGATCTTCTTAAACCCTACAACTTTTGTTGGAAACACTTTTCTGTAAAACGTATATTTTCCGAGATATTTAGGGGTTTCCACACTTTTGGTAGACCCTGTATATATATATATATATATATATACATATATATTACTATTAAATCTTTATCACTTTTTATGTATTTAGTTGAAAAATTATTTTAATATGACTCATATATAACTGCATTCACAAACTTTTCTATTTCAAATTCTTTCTATATTTCTTTTTAAACAGGTTTCTTTACAAGAGCTTTTATATTCGTAATAAAGTTCGTAATAAAATTCGTAAAAGTTGGCCATTGCAGATATACATGTACGTAAGAACCGAGGGAGATGAGAGCTCAAGTACGTAAGGGCCGCGGTGGATTTGCTCGTAAGCTGACGGAACAGGAGCGATCCTCGTCTAATCGCATCCCTAGTCCTGATTTAGGACGGGATTTTAATTACGAAGGGTCAGTAAGTGCGGCTGTCCACTTGGCACAAGTATTCCTCCCTTATTTATAGTTCATTAGCTCGGCTTTCGCGTAGAAAGCAAATTAACTTACGTCTAGCGACACTCTGCCTTTGTCCGGAGAAAACGAAAACTTCTCTTTTATCTTAAAAATCTTATAGCATAAAACATGTTATAAAATATAGATTTTTGTAAATTATATTATTATTATGATAATTTATTATTGTCTCAATATTAAAACCATTGTATAATTATACTATTAAAATTATATTAAACGAATAATTTTTCTAAAAGGTAAAAGTTATCAAAGATTAAATCATGTAAAGGAAGATTTAATTACCGATCAGATTATTGATAGCAAAATTATTTTATTTTGACAATCAAAAGTTAAATCTTTTAATGAGAGTAAGCTTCTTTTTTTATTTAGCAAAAAAGAGATAAAGTTTCATGCGATTGTTAACACATATATCATACCGAATAATACACTTTATGTAAATTCATTTAATGACACTTTTTTCTAAGAAAGCAATCAAAGATATGGCGGTCTTGTGAGCTTTTCCGGTGGCGCTGGAAGTGGCTCAGAGCGATACCGTCATGTTGATAAAAAAAAGCGTCAAAAGATCCTTCCATTTAGTTTGGTCATTAATTATCTCGTTTTGCCTAATGCAACTGTCAGACATAATTTGGGCGCATTTGAATAATGTGTTACTGATATTTTTGTTAGATCGAATGACTTTTAATTTCCATAAGAGTATAAAGAATAATTATGATTATAAAAAACAATGTATGAGAGTATTCTCGGAAAAAATAATTGGTCAAGATTATTCGTTTGATATATTTAACAGATATATTTTTGATAATATATTCTATGTCGGAAAATGTCAATTCTTTGTACGTTTCGTATGTAAATACACATATGATTAAAATCAATGCCTTATCACCGAATTATGACCGATAAGAAAGAGTTTGAGAGACATAATGTCTTAATTACTGATCCTGTACTTGTTGGTACTTGTGTAACATACAAATAATGCGGTCATAGCGGTTGCGGTTTCGCGATTGATCGTAGTGCCGATTTTTGCGGCGATTCCGAACGTTTTCGCCCTGCGGATAGGCCAACGATCAGTAAATTCACCCCCATACAAGGAGCACTTTCAAGAAGTTAATCACCTATATCTTGCGAGAACGCGGCAAACCGCATCTACCTTCTCGATTACGCTTCAGTAAACCACAGTGCAATAAACAGTAGCATCACGTGACCGCGATTCAGAATTTTTGGTGAAGCCTGGAATGCGAAACTGTCCTAAACAGAAAGTCATAGGAAAAAAAAATTACATTTTCTAGATTTTGTATTGTACGACCAACTGATAGATTAGTTTGTTAGCAATCTATATGTAGCGCACAAGTTAGATTTTGCTAACAATCTATATGGTGAAATAGAAAAATTTATATTTTATAAAAGTCGTATTCTTTTGATGTAATACCAGATCGTTCAATTGTTTAGATGCAAACTATAAAACTATCCGACTAATAAAAACCAAATCTTGATAAGAACAAGAATTCATTAGGAGATCCTTCAAAGATCATTGGTAATTTTTAATTTATGCAATAATTTTTTTTTTGTTAAGAAGTGCTATTCATTTCCAGCGTGTGCTGCAGCAAGAAGCATCCGATCTTCCACTTGGGAAAGAAAAAGGGATTCGAGAGAAGGAAGAAGAGATGGAAAGCGCGGGCAGAGGTGCGAAGGAACAAAATCGCACGGGTGGGGCGAGCGTTGCATGATGCGGGAGAGCTGGACCCCTCCATCTGCTTCCCCAACGAGAAGCTCCGCCTCCAGAAAGCCGAGTGACGTCACACGGACACTTGTTACGCCTTGCCGTTGCTTGTGATGGGATACTGTGCCGCGGAGATTTTGCGGAAACTGAAGGAAACCAGTTGACACATGCCAAGGTATACATCGAATGAATTTATCTCCGTCACAAAATCTTTCTTAATTTACTAACCATAGTCGCGAATGTTTTTGATTTCTCGCCAACGTTCGTGGGTAATTTCTCTTTAATCGCAAAACAAATTTATTTAATAGTATTTTAATATAACTATAAATATTATTAATTGACAAAAACAGTATTTTAATACAAAGCATAAAAAAGATAATAAATTACATGTGCAAATATTGCTAAAATACATTATGAATATGAGAGATGTAACGAGAGATTTATTATTAGACTATATCGCAATCGCATGACGCGTTTTCTACCCCCACATCGCACATTGCCACTTGGTAAAGAAAGGTGGGGAAGAATCGCCCGAAGGCTGGACCATCATATCGCGGCTATCGGGAGGCTGGACCGTTGTGGGAAATCACACGATAACGTCGAGAATTCGTCGTCGGTATTTTGCCTCTTATCGTCGCGGGAGATGGCCTGAACGGCGCCTGATAGTCGCCGTTTCAAAATTTCGACGATGCATCTTGGTATGTATCTACGATGTATCTTTTCATCTCAGACAACATTGAGGATTTTGAAATTAATTGCTCTTGAATAAAATTAATGCACTAGTCATTTTATAGGAAAATGTGAGCTGGCACATGCTGACGTACATGGGAAATCCCACGAATTTATTTATTCGCGATGCGTCTCATATCTGCCGGTTCATAAGGTTGGCGAACACGACACATCTCTCTTTCTTACGAAGTAACGGGGTCGACCGGACGGCGGAAGGAATGCCATCGTCGTCGACGACGATGACGACGAGATGCACCACCACCTTCAGTGATGACGAGCTCGAAAAGTGGAACGGGGGAGGAAGGGAGGGACGGCAGCGTGTTGCGCGCGTGGTGGGAGCGGAGGAGAGAGCGTAGCCCGTTTCTGCCGTCGAGGGGCGTCAGTTCGGTGGCGTAAGCGGAGGCGGGGGTCCAGAATCATCGGGGCTTAGGCCGTCCCGGGACCGCTTACGCGCCGAACACGCGGTCCGCGCGGCATTACGTCGCGCACCGCCGACCGCGACTGACGTTTGATGCCGGAGTTGATCGTCGCCCCACCGATTGTCGACTGCGATCATGACGCGGCCTGCCGCGGTTGAAGGAAACGTCAGTGGGTGTTATGTAGGAAAAGTGCGCCGTTTACCCGAGTGTAACGCCGCGTGACGTTAATATCGGATTCGTGGAATCGACGTCTGGACCTGTCGTCACATTGGCAACAACCTGTCGGATTAGAAATCGCGATCAAATGATATAGTGCCGCAGGCAATTGAGTGTTCCGAGAAAGAGAGAGAGGGAGATTGGAACACGCGGTGACAACTATTAACCGATCGTTGAATAAACTACTGATAGACAGTGACAAATGTACTTTAAATCGCCGGACTCTCTACGGTCACGCGTCGCGTAAGAAAGTGCAACGGTACATCGCGAGAAAACAGCTGCCGCGTCGGATCATGAGACAAAACCGGAATCGGTGATTCCGCGGTATCGAGATTCCCGTCTGTAACTATGACGATCTTGCGATCGATGATGAGAATCGATGCAATCGTCGAGGAAGAACTGATTGGTTACGTACGGCGTGAAACGCGCCGGGGATACGTTTGCCGGGCAGGCTGGTAGCGTGGGACGCGAAGTCGCCTTCGTCGGCGAAAATTGTAAGTGAAATCACGACGTCCCAGCCGGGGATTACGTCCTTGAGCGACGTGGGGCGGCTACTGGCCGATGGGATGCATCTACCGGTGGGTTCCGTGGGCTGCGGGGAGAATTACGGCACCGTTGGATCCCACGAAGGCGCCGGCCCGTGCGGTCCCTCCCTGGCGCCGCTGCAAGGTGTAAACAGCAGGTACCACCAGGTAGACGACGCCGACGTCGGAGGTGGAGGCGGCGAGATGAGCGAGAGTGCCGCCGTCGGCGAGCTATGGTGGACCGAAAGACTCGTCGGCGAAGCGCAGGCCGAACATCCTGGAGAACTGGTCAGGACAGGTTAGCGTTTGATCGAATAGAAAAATGTTAAAAAAGAGTAACGAATGAAAAGAGGAGAAAGAAGAGTGTTTATTTAAAATTTATTATTATTGATTTTCTCGTGTTAGTTAAATCGATCGGATGATCTTGCGCTTTTCTTTAATTAAAATTGTCAGTATTTGAAATTGACATTAATTTACATTAAACGATTGTTTGAAATCTCTGCGACTTTGTTTCAGGATCACCGTACTTTTTATGCAGTCAACTGCCAACGCATTGGCGATCCAACAAGACACTTCCAGTGGCGTTCAAAGTAGTTGCTCTTGGCGAAGTTGGCGACGGGACTCTGGTGACGGTCCGTGCGGGCAATGACGAGAACTGTTGCGCGGAACTGCGAAACTCCACCGCGTTGATGAAGAATCAAGTCGCCAAGTTCAATGACCTCAGATTTGTCGGTAGAAGCGGTAGAGGTGAGTTTTTCTTGTCGATCGTTTTATTTTTCATCCTCCTTCGTCATTTCTTAAATTTCCAAAACATTTTTCGAAAGGAAAGACATTTTACGTATAAAAAAAAGAAGAGGATATATTCATGAAAGAAGCGTATTAAACGTTTCAATTATATTCTGCGGAAATACAATTGTATCTTTGATCATATTGAAGTTCATACCGAGAGAATCTGTAGGTTGTGTATCAGGACGAGCGAAAGCGCGTGCCGCGATTTTCAGCCCTCTAAAATCACGGTTATTGTAATCATCATCATCATCGTGCCACCCTCATCCATCCCCGTGCGTCCCCATTCGCGAGTTGCCGCTCTCCTGCCACCCCCCCAGAGTCATTACTCGATGTCTGCCGCAAGCCCCAACCGAGCATTCGAAACAACTGGCCGTTAATCAGAAATCATCCGACGGATATGGACGGATATGAACGGAGAGGATGACTTGCCAAAATCAACCAACGCTTTCGATCGATGCTCTTGACTTGTTTAATTTTCGACCCTAATTTTCCGTCAACCCCTGCGGCTCTTTCGCGCGCGTATCTATTAACAAAAATATCTCGCGAAACAACATTGAGAGAGATTAAACCGCAATGACGAATAATGCTAACGCAAAATATTTTGACAATTGATTAACGTAATAGAGGGAGAAAGAGAGAGAGAGAGGATTAATTAGATATGTATCGAAAAGAATAACGAGAATCTCGCGAGTCTTTGTTTTTCTTAAACGAAATCTTGATGTTTGCAATTCCTTCGATCTGTTTACGTTGTCGGAATATCGATCTCCCGACCGATAATAATTATTCACGGATCAGTAGACGGCTTTGTCAAAGCCTACAAATGCATTTTGCACCCCTATGATCCGGAGGGCGCGTTTATGAATTAACGGGCCGGACTGCTCGCGCACGGCGGGATGTTCGTCCCGTATCGCGTCATCTATGTTTCATTTGATTTCATCATGAAGTGCAGGGTCAGCAATTTTCATTCTCCTGACGCACAGGTGCATCAGGTCCCTGAAGTCAATTAGCGAAAGAGACACTTCCCTCGTCCAAAATCCTTCGGTCCCTTTGTCCGTTTTTCGGCTCGCTCGTTGTTGCATATTTTTTCCTTTTTTCTTTTTTTTTTCTCGTGTTTTTGTCGTTTCAATCTCTCCCCGATAATCCATAATACTCAATTTCGGCGATTGACCAAACCGCCCTCGGTGTGTTGATGCCGGCCACCACCATCGGGCGGACCGGCCGGCCCTCCTGCTATATCATCGAGGTTTTGTTTCCGCGACTTATTAATTTGATTGAATTGCATCGCATCGGCCGATGCGAACTGATTCAAGAAATTGCAGCGAGGATTTTAAAACGGGCGAGGCCACGAAAAATTCCGAGGCCGCTACCTCCTCGATTAAAAAGAGCGACCAGCGGCTCGTATCGACGCGACGAGGGGATTATTTTTCGACGACTTTGCGAAGGTTCGATATTCCCTCTCGCGCTTTTTCTCACCTTCACAATTCTCTCCGCTGCAATGTGTGCACATCTGATTGAAATTGCTTTTACACGTGTCTTCTGTTGTCGCGTAAAGATTACGACTCCGATCACACACACCTCGCGGTTTATTACCTCTAATCAGTCGGCTATTAAAGTCAATTTACGCTAAGAAGGGAATGACCGCAAGCCGGTAGACGCGTTTATTTTTCTTTTTATTAAGACGTACTATTATTTCAACGCGCGGGACATTGACCGTTGTTTGTGAAAAGAATGCGAGGATCTCTTCCAAAGGATCCGACCATCCTGGCAATTATCGCCTCTCGTATACTTATGAGCACATGATTCGAAAAATTACACAGAGTAAGTGGAAATGAAAGAAACGGAATATAGTAGCACCGAATGAAAAAGGGCCGGGGAGGGTGAAACGAGGATGACCGTTCCATCATCATCGCCGGGGTCGGCCCGTGCCTAATAATTAGTAATATACCGCAGTCTATATCGACACGGCTGAAATTACCACCGATAGTAATTATTTGACAATCGCAGAGACATCCTGTTGGGAGACTCGGGGACCTCCGCTCCGTCCCTACCACCGGCGCGCATCCGCTCGCCTACCCCCCTGCTGCCCCTCCTTAGCCTTTCTACCCCGTACGTTGCTGCTCGCTTAGCCCTACGCGACCTCGTCCCCTCCGCTCGTCGCCACGAGTATTAACGGACGGTTTCGAGTGGTTTCGGGCGGTTGTGTGTGGGCGGTTTGGGTTGGCGCGCTCATCTCATCGTCGGTGTTGCCAACGCATCGACACACGCACATACACACTCACACCCGCATACGCATACTGGGAGAGAAAGAGAGAGAGAGAGAGAGAGAGAGAGAGAGAGAGAGAGACGGGAGAATCGTGAGTAGTCGAGCTGTGATGCTGCACGTTATATAGGTGCCACATACGCGTGGCCCGGTTTTGTCTGTCCGTCCGTCCGTCCGTCTGTTCGTCTGTTCGCCCGTTGGTCCGTCCGTTCGTCCGACCGACCGTCCATCGTTCGCGAATGCACAAGCCGGGTCCTGTCTCTGCAGATGACCGTTCCCATCATCGAGTATTAACCGCAGGTCCGGGTGCCGGAGAGGGGAGTCGGCTGTGCGGCATTATTAGCCCCAAATGCGATGGACTCTGCCAGGGGGAGAGGGCGATACGGGGGGAAGGGGGAGGGGGAAGGACAGCGCGCGACCCTTTCTCCGATCGGCCGCCACCTTCCCGACCCCTTCCCGACTTTGGCGGCCCTCCGAGCTTTTCCGCTCGGACATCGTCTTGATTCTGAAATATTTAAAACTACTTTTACCTTCACGCATCTCTCCTCTGGAGTCCAATTTTTCGTCGATTTTGTTTATTTCGGAAAGTTTAATTCTCTTTCTTTTCCATTGAAACTTAAAGTTATTTATCACACTCGTCTAACGACCGAGGGTCGCATCGGAGAAAGAAACGATAATCGTTCGAATCTTCCTCTTTGCAAAAACGCGAAACGAGACGAGACTTTGCGTACGACAGATGAAGGATGATGATGGCAATGACGGTCGCGAGAGGTATGGTCCTGGGAACGGGCGCGACGGGGGGGGTGGCGGTGGCGGTTCTATCACGGGGAGAAGAGCGGAGAGAGCCGCGATATAACTGGGATATAACGCCATGTAGCTCTGCAGTCAGTTGCAGTCTCCCCGGGGGTGGCGCGCGGGGGAGGGGGAGGGGGCAGGAGGGGGTCGGCGGTGTTTGATGCCGGTTATCATGTTGACAGACACAGCGAGCGAGGTGGAACTGAATGCACCAAGGGGAGACAATTACAAATCGTTGACATTTACGCCAACACAAACGATTGCATGTCCGCGGCGCGTGTTAGGTATCGTCTCTTTTGGGGCGTAAACAGCAGTCTTGCTCGTGTTTCGTTTCGTCATGTCCGACAAGTTGACACCGAGTGAGAGTTTCGGTCCCCGCGAAACGGATGAGATGGCATCGTACGAATCGTTTCCCCGTCAAGTTATCGCCTACGACCTGACGGCAGTAGTCCAGTCTCGGTTGAAACGGTTAAACCGGACTTCTCCGTTTCCAATCACGAAGAACGTAAATAACGCGAGGGAAAGAGAGAGAGAGAGAGAGAGACTCGGTGGTAAGAGTTCGGTGGTAAATTCTTGGCCGTGCGATAGAAGAGCGGGCCCCTCGGAGTCGGGAGAGAGGGACAATTGGTCGAAAGAGACAACTCTGGCCTACGCTTCTCTCAAGCGGAAGAGCCGCGAAAGAGCGGCGAATTACCGAATGCATATTAGCGCGCGATGGGCCGTTTAAGAGCGCGTAGTCAATCTCTCCGACGGACGTTTATGGAGAGGGAATTAATATACCGGACCTTCAACTTGCAGACCTTCGCCGATGATATATGTACACGACCGCTCCACCCCCGAGCATCCACTCCTCTTCTATTATCTTTTAACGTGCTTAAGAATACCGAGGCTCCGTTAGGATCTAATAGACACGACCGTAATTGCTTAAGTCGCAAATTATAAATCGAACTCCGCTCTCGTCGTACTTAATCAAAGATGGAAACACAAGTACCTTTATTAGCACTCTATTGACCGAATAGATACTTAAATAGGTACTTAAATTTTTGTAGAGAGTGTTTAATAAATTGTATTTTACTAAACGATTTTTCGTAAAAAAGCAAGTCGAAGACGTGGAAAAAAATATTTTTCAAAAGAATTATTTCACAAATGTAAAAATGCACTTGTATAGTTTGTTTTTGTTAATATTTTGCCGCGAAATAAAAATGTGAAATATATCTTGTAAAGAACATCTTGCACATTTAAAAAATTCGCGATTCGCATGTAATTCATAATTCATTGTTCTCTGTCGCAGGAAAGAGTTTCAGCATCACCATTACCGTGTCGACAACGCCGCCCCAAGTGGCGACCTACACGAGGGCGATTAAAGTAACAGTCGATGGACCACGGGAGCCGCGATCGAAAACGAGTAAGTGAATCATGCGACACTTCGATCGCGAGATCTATCTAAAACGCGCCGTTCCGGGAATTCCCTCTGAAAATGTACCGATAATTCAACGAAAGTCCCTGTACGCGGTAATGGGGAGTCATTACCGAGCAGATGGTGCGCGATGATGCAGTGGTCAACGTGCGTATCGCGGCCCGATGCGTGTTTCGGGTCGAGCTATTCGCGCAACGCACACGCACACACCCTCGCGCGCGCGGAGGGGGAGACAATGCTTTTACAAGCGCGCTTTCGTGCGCCCCGAATACGCTTAACTCACTTACGATATAATTCGCCGCGAAAACCCCCGAAAAAATTGCTAAAACATTCTGTTGGCGAACTCATTATCGGTCGGCCAAAATTGATAGGATCACGCGAAACGCAGTAAAAGTCGATCGAACGGTGACTGTCCTCCCCCTACGCTTTTATAACTCGACTGCGTGCCCCTTCTCCCTCTCCCACCCCCGCGTCGGACCGAAAGGAGATGTCGCGCGTTTGTGCGCGCCCGACTATTCGGCTCGACACCTATTTTCGGATGCATCCGCGGCGAGCGAAAAAAAAAAAAAAACAAAAAATGGTCGTTATTTCAATATCAGATTAATAGCCGTTGCGGAGTTAACCGCGAAAACGGCAGTTTTTTGCGGGCGTTTTGCATTTGTTGTATAAAGTATTGATGGGAGCATGGGCACCGTATACACCCGCCGGTCCCGCTATTTTTTTTCGCAATGGCCGAGCGTGATTGATTTTACTGATGTTTTTACTGCTTGACTCGTGGCCCGTATGTCCAGGGCGCGGGGACAAAAACTCGTGAATCTCGTCAATTTTCCAGCTGGGCATAAAGTGCACTTAACGGCGGGGTTAAAGTTTCAAGTCGCGTCCACAGCGACTATCATATCTTTGCGGCTATCGACGATTTTTTAATGCCCCTCGGTTAAAGATGCTCGATTCGATCAATTTTATTTCGCTACCGCTCGATTTCACGCATCGTAAATTAATAATCTTATAGCTTTCAAAAAATACAATTGAAACTCTCAAGTTTATTCTTTCATTTTTAAGAAAATATTTGTTTTTTTTATGATTAATCTGATGAACCGAATTTTAGTGATTAACCGAATCCGATCGAAAGCTATGATATTTATAAATGAATAGCAATATAACACACACAAATGAATGTCGCGAAAATTGTGCGCGCTTTCCACGTATTTACTTTTAGCGAATAAGAGAAGACCCATATTTATACACAATTGAGCAACCGCTTTAAACGCGGGACTCGTCGTTTAAGTCGTTAGAGTAGACCGGACGTCACCCAATCGCCGACCTACTGGCCCTTTGGAATCGAAAGAGACGACACGAAAAGGAACGCACGCATGTCACGTGGCACGGATCGCGGAATAGAACACGCATGACGACATATTGCATACACGGGTTTTCGGCATCGCCGATGGCGTGCCTCATCATCGGCCGGCACGGCATCCGGGGAGACAATCTATGCAGCGCAACCGGCCTATACCGGCACGTCGTTCGAGCAAAACAACCGGCAGCGCTTTCATTGTCCTGCCAACAATGCGCGACGCCCCGCAGACACCTGCCGGGTCTCATTATTGCGTGCATAATCGCGAGCTTTTTGTTATCGGAAATCATCCCTGTGCGCGCCATCATGCATGTGTGTGTGTGTGTGTGTTTATATGTATATGCCATGGCCGGTAATCGGGCAATTTCCGTAATTCGCTCTATCGTCGACTTGCGCGCGAAATGGTTTAGAATAGCTTTCCGTTTCCTCGAAGGAAAGCGACCAATTTGGCGTATGGATTTTATACGAAGAGTCTATTGTCTGGAAAAATATGAAAAACCTCTCAGAAATTTTTTTAAAAAATTCTCCCTAATAATTTTGCTCTTATATTGTAAGCAATTGACAAGCCAGTAAGTCAAATTATAAAATATATATATATATATATATATATATATATATATATGTTTACATATTTAAAAATATTTCTTGAAAAAATATTGAATATGCAATACATATTCGTTTATCATTTTTAATGATAAAAAAATTAAAATGTGCAAGCAAAGAATGTTCATCTTACGAAAGCTATTTAACTTTTTTCAATACATGTGAACATCTAACACTTGAAACTTAAGTGGCTCTATATTTTTCTTTTTGTATGGATGAAGAGCATTAGAAAATGCACATTATAAAAGAGTTATTTTAGGAGACTGCATAAAAAATCTTTAAACTATTCTCTTTATCTGAAATTTTAAATAAAAATACGTGGAATATCGGGGAATTTTTTTACAAGATTTAAATAGATATCCTTTAAATAGATTTAAATGCAATACTTGGAGAGTGTTTCTTCCGCACATAATGTAATGCGCGTTAAATCGTTTCAGAAAAGGGAGATGAAGCGCAAGGTGACAACTTTGACCTTTTCCGTTAGACGAATCGGTCACGACAAAGCAGTGCCTGAGTAATTTGTCGGTTGCCAATAACGGAAATGCCAGCAGAGATTCGCGTAACGCAGAATGAATCGAGCGCGGTACGAATAAACGGAGAAAGAGAGACGCGCTCGTGAAACAAAGTGGCCGCTCGCCCGTCACCGTGGCCCCAAAATCATCGAAATGCAAGCGAGCGGAACAATATCGGATGGATGGGTGCTGTCAGTCAAAGGTCGAAATTGAATTTGCTTCGTTCCGTAATTGCTCCGTATTTGGAATGTCATCTATTAGTAGCATGTCATAGATATATTCGCGAAATCATTTCCCGCTTTAATACGAGCGAAACGAAACGTCGTCTCCGATGTGTCACCAGCGATAGATTTCTTCTCCCCTCCCCCCTTTCCTTCCCCTTTCCTCCCTCCCTTGTATTTTCATTTCAGCGATAAACGACGTTTCTCTTCGAGAAATTCGCGAGATCCGAATTTTGTGAAACACGCGAGCCGATCCATCCCGATGTGTTTTTCCGGTCTTCATCTCTCCGCAAAATCGCTCGTCCGTCCCAATCGACATCTCTCTTAAATGCAGTTTTCGAGAAAACCGATAGCGACGAAAGGAACCATACGAAGCAATTTCGACGGTCGGTGGGCCGTCAATCAAAATGTTAAAATTGAACCAGGCTACTTCGCGATTGGATTCCCTCGTGGCCGACTCTTGATCCCGACACCGGTCAGAGGAAGGCTCTATCAGCGACCGAAAAGTCCGATTAAAGACCACCTCCTGATAAAGCGGCGTCGAGAAGTGGCAGATCTCGCGGGGCTTCCGGCTCGAGGATACGCTGAATAGTATACTCGTGAATAGTATACTCGTTGGAAAAATTACTCGCGGTTATCGTTGCGACGATCTGAAATCGCAAACGGATGTATACTAAAAAGACGAAGGGGGAAGGGGGAGAGAGAGAGCAAAATGGATACTGCGAAATTACGTTAGCGTTGAGGAATGAGAGAGAAAAGAAAGAAGCAGATGGGAATATTAAAATCTACGAATCGCCACGCTGGCGTCAAGGAGAACGTAAGACGGGCGGAGGGAGGGGTCCCCGCTATTAGAGAGGAGGAAAAAGCGTTGTTTCCGTTCTCCCGAGGGCCGCCACATTTTGATTAGATAAGCCGACTACTCGTGCCGCAGAGAGAGATTGGAATTATTGCTCTCTGCATCCCGCCTTCTTTCTTTCTCTCTCTCTTTCTCTCTTTCACACTCTTTGATTATCCGTATTTTATAGAAGCCAGAAAGGCAATTGATGAAGGTGTTTTATATCCCCATTATATTATCGTAATTAAATGTAAAACCCGTGCATAACGTGCAATCCAACATTGGTTGCGTCTTCAAATTTTTCTCGAAAGAATCCCCTTTTGCAGAAAAGATTTTCAAAGGAGTAAAACTCGCGTCTACCGTTTGACCTTTCAAAGGAACGAATCCATTGCTGCGTAACGCTTCGTACATTTAGAGCATTATCGGCGTCCGGTACGTGAGAAGTCCGGTACGTGGGATTCGCGCGGGCCCCTTTTACACGGGCCCCTTCACTTGTAGTATCTCCTGGCGCGGGCCGTGGTAGTCGGTAGCAGGGAATAATCTTGTAGGCATCGGTCAGAGCACTGGAGCTGACCATCTGGGCTCGCCGACAATTTCGTGCAGTTTGCGGTCGAACTTTATTTGTCGTTCGCCCTCGTGGCCGGAGGTGTCTCTCCTTCTTTCTTTATCTCGCCCTCTCTCTTCCCTCTTCGCGCTCCGTCTCATCTTGCTCTTCTTTTCCTTCTACTCTCCCGAGGAATAACAATTTGCGCTTAGACCTCCATTCTTTTGACTTCTCCTCAATGTCAGCATCCGTTGAAACGGAGAAAGAAGGAAGGGGGAGGGAAAATGTGCCACTTTTGCTGCCTACCGGTAATAGATGGAATTCAGAATTCCTGTCGTCGTTCTTTCACTGGAGATGCTAGTATGTAAATATCGAAAGTACGGAATATATATTGCAAGAATCGACTTTCGACCGGGAAATACATGTCGCAATATATTCGCGAGTTGGACGTGAGCATTATTTTAATTCTTAAACATCGTTGCCTTTCGAATATACGTCGTCTATGCGATCTCCGATGATTATGTAAGCGTCCGAGCTCGTGCACATGGCGAATCATGTGCATTGTCGTGTAACAATATATATATATATATATATATATATATAGCGTGTATCAGGATCCGACATAATAGGGAATCGGAGTACCCACGTTATGTGTACGCCGCGATACTTGGCTCGAGATTCTGTCTATCCACGGGGCTCCGGATATGCGAGGAATGCTATTGAAGTCTATCAAGGGAAGAGAGGTCGAGTTTCTTCATTATCTCGCTCTATTGGTCTAATGACGTAGACACGCGCGCTAGTCAATCTCCTGATTCGAGAATCCACGTGTTTGCATCGTGTCAAAGCTCAAAAGCCGTGAAAGATTCGAAAAACGTTTAAGAAAGTCCGAGATGTATTTTTCAGAATTTTCTCTACAATTAATCGCGAAATTATTTAAATGACTAGAAAAACAGACTAGAATCTTGCAGTCGAGACAACAAATGGATGACAAATTTAAGCGACTCGAGATTGCGATTTATACATCGTGTGCGATATATTATGCAATGCAATTTTTCTTGTTCAGGACAACAACATCAGCAATTCCGTGCGCTCGGCCTAGGACAAAGACCTTTCCTCGACGCGCCGACCTCGTTCAGGTCTCATCTGCGAGAGCTCGAATCTTTCGGGAGGAATAAGCATCACCATCATCACAGTAGCAGTCACTTACACGACCAGCAGACCGGCAACAATGTCACCGCGAATTCGGTTAGCGGTGCCTGCACCAACCCCAACAACACCGACCCGACCACATCGCCGGCTTCCAGTACACACCTCGGGGCTACCGGCGGCTCCTCTGCTCATCAGGATTGCTACAAACGCAGTCCTCAACACGGCGGTGAGTTCTGATTCTATGTTGTCGCCCATTTTTAATGGATAAGTCTGTTCGATACGCGCTTTTACACGCAGGGATTATATATAAATCGATAGATGTAACCGCGTTAATATTTATACGATAAAATTGATCAAATTCAAGTTTGATACACATACTTCTTTTTGACGAAAAGGAAGAATTCCAAATTAATTAAAGATACAGCGAGTTTTCAAGGTACTTTGTTTATCACATGAGAAAATTTTCCCAGAAAATAGCTCTTATATATTTTCCATACTGAAGATTTACGTGCTCGATTATCAAGTGCCAAGTAGAAACAACATCTACCGATCTATTTACTTCTTTGGTTCGCGATGAGATATTCGTGATGCGGCTATCATCATCTCGTACTCTCCTCGCGCAGCGAGTTCTCCTTGTGGGAGAACGACTCGAAACTACGCGCTAACCCCACCCAACCCTTCGTCGCGAAAAGGTAAAGGGGGAGAAATCGCGGAGAGGGACTCCGGGGAGGGAGGGAGGAAAAGAGAGGAGAGCTCTGCCGTTTCGCGAGGTAATAGTTTCATACCTCGTTCCGGCTCTGCACCCTCTAATTCAACGTAATAACGACATTCAACCTGCCGTTTCCATCTCCCCCCTTCACCGATCCCTCTCGATGCACCGTTGCATCTCCGTAGCACGAGGAAAAAGTGTCCTCCTCCTCGTGGAGAAACGTCATCGGTCGCGAACCAGGCTACCGTCGTAAATTTTCCTCCGGGAAAACTTTTTTTCCTCCGCGCAGATTTTCCTACGCGGTAAAAAGATGAGGAGAATCGTCTCTTCCTCTCTCGAAATACCGCCTCAATGGCGTGTTAAATCGTTCGACTATGGTAAAAATTCGTCCAGCTGACAAAAACAGGGGCCGTTTCCCTCAGCGAAACGCGCGAGTCCTGCGCCTGTCGGGTAGCTTCGATATTTCGAACTATCGAGATAATTTAGGATGCAAAAAGACGGGGAAGGTCGAGGCGAGGCACTTTATTTCTGCGTGGCTCGTCTCGCATCAGCGGTCTCGACCTGATCAAAGTTAAGTAGACGCGCCCCCTGACTGGCGAGACCTCTTTGAAGCTACGTTGCGGTTTCTCTTTGCCCTAATCTCCTCCTCCGCAACCACCCTCCCCCCTCGTTCCCTTTCGCCTCTCCTCGCCTACCGTGCGCGCGATCGGGTCCTCCGTCACCTTCCGGACCGAGACTTCTCGTCAACTCGAGACACCTTCGTGGATCGACATGCATCGTAATTAGCTCGTTTCGCCGCGCAAAAGCTCGGCGAAAGAGCTCGCGAGCCGTTAGTTGCTTTCGACAAAACGCGGAGCCGAGTATCGGATGGCCAACGATGAATTTCACTTCCACCACCTTCGCATGAATGGATGCAATCTCGGCGGATATTCCATTTACCGCTCATTCATTCGACACTTTTTTCGACTCCTTCGCGTCTCTAATGAGCAGTTCCGATGGGCGTCGGACTCTCCAACCATAGTGCAAAATGACCGAGTGCGTTGGTGGATGCAATTTTCTTCCTCTCGGATTCGAAAGAGAAGAAAGAAAGAAAGAAAGAGCTATCCGTTTCTCGTTCTTAGCAGCTCCTCTACCTTGAGATAACTCTTTTCACCCAATTCAGATCTCTTCGCCGACGGTATCCCCGACATGCCCGTGCACTCACGTACGACTCACGTGCACGTCTGCGTAATACCAGGGATCGATCGGTTGCTTCTCGATCGATCCGAAGCTGGATCCATGTTGTTTTTGCCCTTCGCTCGCGCGACTCTTCCTTTTATCTTCTGTTCGCTTCGCTTGCGACGTTACTGAATCGAACCTATCCACCTCCTCCTCATCTTTCTCCTCCTCCTCTTCACCTTCTACTTCCCGTGACTTTGTATTCCCGTGATTGCTTTCTAAATCTCGCGTACGTGCCGGAAAGTGCTACAAGAAAAAGTGAAATCGTTAAAAATACTTTTATTTTATAAACATGAGAATAAAAATATATATATAAAAGTATGCAAAACAAAATATAAAGTTGATAGAATTTACGCTTCGATAGCCGGGGAAAATAAGATGGAAATAGAATAAGGAAGGTTTTTGTAGAATTTTTCTCGAATATTACAAATGAAGTTCACGATTACTTTGAGAGGTACACGCAACATTTACTCGCGTACGAGTGTCTTTACCGAAAGGCTAAACGCCACGTCGATCGGGAGGTCTCCGGGTGAGGAAAAAAGGGAAGCGCGAACATTATTTCTGTCTCCTATAATATAACCGTGTCCGTTTCTCTCGTCTACCTTGCCCCGCCGAGTCTCATTTCGAGTCGTGATCGGGGTAATGAGGCCCCGCGCGCAGTGGCAGCGGACCGAGAGTAGGTACCCAAAGAGGTGATGCGAAGAGAGGAGACGAGAGGAGAGGAGAGGAGCGGATCTCGGATGGTATCAACGTGAAAGGAACGAAGAGAAGAGTGGCCTACCTGGTCAGCATCAGGAAGAGGAGGAGACAGGTGCGGGCGGGGGCGAAGTAAAACGAACGGAGAAGCCACGATGCCGCTGGTGTGGTAGGGGTAAGGACGCTGATTATGGGGTGTCAAACAATCATGCTGATTGTATATTCTGCGCTGACTCCTTCTGTCTGCCTTTACGTCTACTCGTATAGGCTGCGAGTGGCGGGCTCTCGTTTCCTCATCTTCGCGTCCTTCTTCTTCGTTGTTGTCGTCGTCGTCGTAGCTATTCTTCTCCTCTCTTCTTCCCGACGAAAGATTATTCAAGGAGAGAAGGAGAGAGAGGGAAAGAGATTATCCAGTGCGCCTTCTAACAGGTTCACTGTCGGAGAAAGAGACGAAAACTGCGTTTCTAAAGGCACGTCATGGTGGTTTACGAGGAGGAAGTTATTTATCCGGCTAAGATAAACGAACAGTCGAGTTAAAAAATCCGCCGGATGCAAAGAACGGATGAGAAACGTACCAGTCGACCTTTCATCTTGCAGAATTTCAAGAATTCGGAAACGATGAAAAAAGAAGACACGCGAGAGGACACTACGGAAGAGGAAAATGCGAGGAAAAACGTCAACGACTCTCTCGAGAGATAGTTCGCGATCGCGACTCGCGTATCGTATTTTTCGGCCGCGTAAACGTATCTTGCGATTTTTAACCACGCGGTACCAGTTACCGGGTGGTTAAGGTTAAGAAGCGTGTAATTCGCTCCGTTGCGAGCTTCGTCCACGGAGGTGCGCGCGAAGAATCCAGGAGCAGCTTGTCGCGAGTTAGCAAGAAGGGAATCATCTCTCTCTCGTATCCCCCTTGGCCGGCATATTACTCCCCGGCGAGAAAGAGACAAAGAGGCCGGCGCATCTCGACTCTTTACCTATTTACCGGGAGATGTGCTCGTACTTTAGCTAGAAGGTACACCCAAAAAGACGACGAGCCGCGCGGGAGAGAGCAGAAGGACTACTGAGGGGGACCCCGTCCGATCTCGCGATTCCCACGTGCCTCCGCAGGCTACCAAGAATGCGGCTACCTTTCTGGCTGCTGCGGGTATTTTTTCCACCTACTGATTGTCCTACCGTGGATCCCTCTCGGTGCTCACCTCCTCCGCGGCCTGCACTTTACCCGTCGGTACTTAGAATGCTGCCGACGCGGTTTAATGGAGGCCTAGTGCGTGCTTGTACGAGATTATTACGCCTCCTTGCCGCTACTCGCTGCAGCTGGCACTCTTACTTAAACGTTATTTCGATGTTCTTGAGAACAGCACGATCTTATCCGTGTACGCATTATGTAGCGAGTCCAATTCTTCGATATCTCATTTTATCCGACATTCGACTGCCGTAAATTCAGTGGACACAATCGAGTGATTTTTATCCCGCCGCCGAAACTACTGGAAATTGAAGAATACGGAAAAATAATTTGACTTCTTTTTCATTTTTTTTTAATCATAATTTTTATATATGAAAGATTTACGCGCGTGTTTATAATTTATAAATTTATTTATATATTTTTTTTTAACACGAACACTTTTATTTTCTAAAGGATATTGTCTCCGCAACGCAGTAGGAAGCAAAAGTTCACGTCCAGTTGTATTGTTCGCAAGTTCCCCGATCCAGATTCTACCAACCCCGCGAGAAGCAGACGGATAAGGGTTGCTTTTCTTAAACAGGGGAAAGGGTAGGAAGTTGCGAGGCAATTAGGAAAGTGTCACACACACTCCTATCGCGACTCACCCTCGCAGCACGGCGACCCCTATCATATTCTATCACGAGGTTATTAACGTACGCGTTAAATCGTCTATAGGAGATGCGAAAAAGACCTGTGATGCATTAAGAAGCAACGTGCATGCTTCGTCCGCGCATCTGTCTTCTTGATTTTCTCTCAAGGTACATTTTCGAATTATAATTTATGCATTTTACATCGCGTTAAACGCGACGAGCCATCGAACGTTTGCGTGAAGAAGACGCTTCGCGTGGAGAAAAAGTGGATCGTCGTTGCCGGCGCAGCTTGAGAAACGGCGACGTAAACTTTTCTTCTTTGCAATTCGTACTTCCCGCAGGAAGGCGAAGTTCGAAGCGTGGCCAACGAGTCTTCGATGCCTGCTAAAATGACAAACGCGACCGCAGAACTTAATTAAACTCGTAAATCCGTCGGCACCATCGTCGACTTCCACGACCGTTGTTGCGTCTCCTAGTACTTATTTACCTCGGAGTACACGCTATAAACGGCGTCTCGGCCAATCAGAAACGTCGAATGCATCATGCATATCATGCACGAGGCACGTCCATGACAGATACCTGCACTTCCACTTTGCATTAAAAAAAATTTAATGCTAATAGGGCTGCATAATGATCTGATAATGACATGGTTAAAAGCGAACTGCGCAGTTGTAAAGAGTCCTAGGTGTCTCTTATAGGTTTTTTTATATACATATATGTATATAAGACTCTCATACGAGGTCAAATTATAATCGATTTTTTTTAATTAAAATTTTCGACATCAAGCGTCT